CACACACACACACACACACACACACACACACACACACACACACACGGATAAATAATATTTAATTTATGAGATTCATAAATGCTCTTTTGTCCATATAAATAGTGGATATGCTTTATTTATTTTATAGTGCTTAAAAGTTTAGTTTCCTCAAATGGTTTATTGGGGGGACAATATCAATTTTTCCAAAACTGCATTGTCCAGACCCTCTAAACACTGCTTTTACTTTACAAGAACTTTGTTTTAATTTTTGTCACTTTCTGTATCTTAGTATAGTGAGGTGTAGAAAAAAACCACGTCTTCTTGTTGAAGTGGAACTGGTATTGCCCGGATAAAGATGATTCTGGAAACAGGCTGGTTTGAACAGCAAGCACCTTTATTTTAGCAGTTCAAGAAATACAGCCTAAAACCAAATTGTGGCCTCCAACCAAATGATTTCGCCAAGTAAGAAAGATGGAGAAAGAACGCCAAGARCGGGGGTGTACAGGGCTCTTTATACATTCTCGACAGATGTACATAAATCTTGTCACGGTATACCTCAAGCGTTCTTGTGTCCTAAAATGGTGATGTGTGTGGAACTCTGAAGCTGGATGGCTGATGGACCACAGGTGTGCATTCCTGAGACAAACCCCCACTCTTAGGACACTACAATAGAAAATAATGTTTAGTGTTTTCTCTTCCACTTTCTTTAAGGATTATCCGTTGATCTTTAGGGTGTATTCCCAGACTACTAAACTACGATTTTTTAAAATTTCATGACRTTTTTTTCTATTTTTATTTTCATATATATGTGATCTTTCTTGTGTCTGCAGATGCATACACTGATGATGACTTGATGCTGTACTGGAAAGAAGGGAACAGTTCATTAAACACWGATGAGAGGATTTCTCTCTCTCAGTTCCTGATCCAAAAGTTCCACACCACCACCAAGCTGGCCTTCTACAGCAGCACAGGTACTGACAGGAAGTGCACAYCTGTCCATTCACGTCTGCCGTCTCTGAAGCTTCAGCTTTGCTCTCATCTCGTCTCCAGGCTCGTACAACCGTTTGTACATCAACTTCACTCTGAGGCGCCACATCTTCTTCTTCCTGCTGCAGACCTACTTCCCTGCGACTCTGATGGTCATGCTGTCCTGGGTGTCCTTCTGGATCGACCGCAGGGCCGTCCCTGCCAGAGTGCCACTCGGTTAGAAAACACTGCTAATGCCCACGTGTGTCTGAGTAAAGTATCTGAAGATGTCAGAATGTTCATCTGCAAATGATTAACTCTGGGAGTCGACCTGATTCAACATGGCTGCCATCTATGGGCTGCCGTTTGTAAAGTTACACAGTCAAAAATTACCACCAATATTTTTGTTTTATTTAGCCTTTTATAAAAAAATGAAC